ACGCTTTTGTTTGCAAATATTTACCGAACTACAGAACATGTATATTGGCTGGGGTATATCTATAAAAGCATTCAGCTATTCAAACTTTCAGGTGCACATAGCACAAAGGCAGGCCGCAGGCATGAGTGATGTGTCATTTCGGAGATGCTGGCTTTTTACGGTGGCTTCCCAGGCCCACAGGCTCCATGCTAATCCAAACGAATTTCAGTTGGCGAAAGTGAAGTTGTCCAAATTCGTTTAGTTTATCATGATTTCCATATTTAACTATCTTGTCATTCACTTGTGGCGCTCAGAACGCCGCGCGCACACAAAACGTTGCGAAATGCCTTTGAAAGAGTGCGCGCATGCGCGCATTGCCTATGTCGTGTTTATCAGCCGCGAGCAATGCATGATCATCGGCGACGCTTCACAACGCATCGGCATTTACGTACACACATACATACTTAGTGCTTTCGCTTAGCAGCCTATGACACATTTATCATATTGCATGCCACATTTTATTTCGTTGACAGTTCACAAAGCCCGTACATGTGGTTCTGTGTGTATTCATGGAAGTGTGCACCTGTGTATGAGTGCGCGCTTGTGAACTAGGTTGAGCTGCGGAGTTGGCTGCTGATTCACGCAATTTATGTTGGCGGCGAATTTCTCTTTCCGATGCTGATAAGGCTAGGTGTTGGCAAATGTCATAAACTGATCGCAGATAACCGAATTTTTTCGAAATATTCGGGTCTGTTGCTGCGATATTCAGCAGCTTGTTTGCGAGAAATAGCTGAAGCGGAGTCGCATGGCTAAAAAGGCGAGGCTACCACCTCAATTAGCGGAAGTAAAACTAAAGTTGCACAAAACTTGCCAAATCGAAACTATTAAATTTAAAAAACGCGAATATTACGAATAAAAAAAGACGGGAGTGCCTTATATTTGTAACAAGTACATATTTCTTGCTGCTCGTCATTAAAAAAGAGCTGTTGAGCTTTTAATCTCATCCTAATATTACCAGTGATTTTATACCAGAATATTAATCGAAACAGTTTTTGGTGTTTCTGGTTTCTACACAATATCAGTCATCCAGCAGCGACAACTGCCAACCTCATTGAATTTAATAGCCGCGCCTGTTATGTTGCAATAAGGTTGTCGCGCTGTAGAGGACTTCTGTGCATTTGAATGGATTCGTGGAATAACCACTGGTTGCTTGCATTGTCTGCGCGACATGCCACACCCCCACCAACCGCTGCGCCGCAAGCTGTATGGCCGAAACTCACTCAGCCACTCATTGGCGCACCAACACACACACTTCGTCACGAAAGGAGCAAACAAGCTGAAATCGACACAAAGTTTCCACATAAAGCGTGCGGCGTGCGGCGTGAGTTCACCGCCGAGGTTAAGCACAATGAACCGCTGCGTTCCGCGAGCGCTTAGTAGCCAGTGCTGTCCGATTGCCGAATGTGAGTGCGACTGCGCTCTCCTCCTCGGGTCTTAGTGATCGTCGCGCAATTTCCCAGGCTTTGCAATGGTCAGGAAATGCTGGGAAAATGTTTGCCAAATGCCAGCTGAACCGCGAAACTGCAACGCAATACTAAGCACGCCGAAGGGTTATGATTGTTGTTGTTTCGACACCGCTTCTATTCCCATTGCACACGGCAAGCGATCCACAAAGCCATCCCTGCTAGGCGAGTAATTGCCGTAATACACACTTCACTGGCGTGGTGACTGTGCTGCTAGCTTGCCACAAATGCTTTTTGCAACAACAAAAACAGAAGTAAACTGGACAACGCATTTCACGGTTGCTTCATGTTAAGTGCCGCGAGTGCTTGGTGATTGTGGTTTTTTTCGTTTTTGCGCCTGGTCGACAGCTACTTGGCACATCGCACTCTAACTGGAGTGGAAAGCGCAACCAGCGCGCACTTCCTTTGCGTGTGGCAAGAGTGATTTTGACGCGATTGTTTCACTCCCAGGCGCATCTGCAACGGTGTTAGCGCCCGTGGCGGACTTGCAAATGGTCGCAGCTCGTCCCATGCTACTAATTGTGTAGATATTCTGCGAGTTGTAATTAAAAACACTAATAAAGTGGCGCATGCAGCAACAACACATTCCTCCCTACCTTCAAAGAATGTTTTGTCACAGTGACGTAATATAATATTCGTTCCTATCAAAAGTCTTCAACGTTCAGTTAGTGCCCTAATCATAGGTCTGCTCACCTATTCCACTGTCGATGTTTCCGGATCGTAGGCGGCCGGACCATTACTGGGTCCATTGCGCCCTCCGGTGGTAAACAATTTTAGACTTTTCCAGCAGATCCGTAGATTTGGTGAAAGATCTGATTCTTATCCACCCAAGCTACTCGATGTTGGAGAATTAAGAGACGTAGAATATGTACCTCCTCATCCAACTGGAGACTGGGCATTCACATAAATAGTGTTGCAGTCTCATGTTGATGTTGTAGCGGTTGAAAGCATTTGACAATCCTTGGCTGGATGAAAATCCGGCTCTGTTCCGGTTAAGTAGACGCAACTGTTGCGAAAACGGCCAACGTGTCATCAATTTTAGCGAATGCTCTGCATTCCGCTTAATTCGCTTTCCTCATGAAGTGTAAATGTCCTGCTATAACCCCTAGAATGTTACTAAGCTCTATTTTGTCCGACATCAATACTACCCTAAAGTAACTTTGTGGTATGCACCGTATTGCTTGTGTTCCAAGGTGTTCCTATAGCGTCCATTGCTTCAAACAATCCTTATAAATGCTTAAAAGTCCAGCTATTTCCTACTTACCTAACCCAATGCAATAATACTTAGTATTGGCGCTGCGGATGGCCCTAATAGCTGATTAGGTATCCATTAGGATTTTTATGAAATACGTGGGTTTCGCATTTGGAACTGTCGATACCAGGATCATTGATCCAATCATCTCTCCTGGGGAACGAAAGTGATGTGTTTAGTTTCTCGTGGGTCACCTTTTTCGGTCTTCAGGATTCCTACCACCCGAAGCATATTGACCGGCCTTCTTGAATAACTAAAAGCTGGTTGAAATCACAATTTTCATAATGAGAGGGCTTCTTAAAGAGAGAGTAGGCATTTGAGCCATATCCAATAACTAAAATTGCGTTTAATGCGATTATAGTGTATATCAATTATATTTCGATACCGCCAGATTTCCTCACATATTTTTGTTACTATCGTTCGTGTTTATTTGCCACTTTGCCGCTTCGCGTTGTCATCTCCACGCTCGCCACTTGACAGTAACCTACTTAGTGTATGCAAACAGAGTATTATGTAAGCACTTATGCGCCTGCGCGGTGTCATTTCAAAAAATTTCGTTGATGGCAAGCATTATTTTGTAGTTACTCCACTTTCGGTTGGCCGATTTTTGCATAATCTCCGGAAAACTCCCACGCCGCTGACATTCGCGATATACTCATCAACGATTTGTTGGCTGGCACCGCGGCAAACAACATTGCAATGCCGTGGAAAGTGGAGACGCGGAGACAATGTGAAGTGCTTTACAATAATAAAAATGTTGTAACTTTAATGTTGCCACATTAATTGTTTCGCGCTTTGAAAACGGCATTTTTGAAATTTTAAATGCGCAACTAACAACTTTTCCAGCCGCAAAACGAGCAAATAAAATTAGCGAATGCCGATTTCGCACACAGGTTAAAAATAGCTAAGACAACATAAAAGCAAACGAGGCGGGGAAAGAGAGTGAAAAGAGGCGCTTGCGCTAGCCTTTGTTGCGGCGAGTTGAACGGCACTCAAAAATTCACACCTGCATAAACGCACACACATACATATACAATGCGCATAAATAATAGTGCAACGCAGCGAATGCTTTTGACATTGCGCCAATTGGGTTCAACGCTGCGAATGCTATTCGCGGCAACAACAACAAAAGCGTACACGTACCAAACAATAACACGGCTTTGAGAGAAAATGCAACGGAAAGGTCACAGCATGAAGCGGCGATGTCAAGTGATGTGGCAACAAGTGGTTAATGCAAATTCCACAAACATTTGCAACAGTAACAGCAACAATTAGTGATAAATCAAAACAAAATTACAAAAACGATAAGTTGAGCATGTGCCTAGACATGTACTTGCATAAGTGTGTGACTTTGATCAGCGTTTCAAGGTACTAATGCAACCGCCGTGCCGCCGGCACCGCCAGTCAGTCTGTGACGCGCGTTGCCTGAGCTGTGTGGGCGGCTGCACAGCATCCTCTTCACTTGGGCGTGCAACACACAGCCCGAAGCACCTGTGATCATGTCGCAATGCCACAGCCAATGCTATCAATTCCGTTAGAGTGCTGCCATTGACACGAGCAAAAGCAAGACGTGCGCATAAAATCGTAAAATATAAAGTTATTAAACGAAAAATTTGATTGTTAACCGCCGTTGACTGTGTATGTCCATGCATTTGGCTGCGCATTGAAAGAAACGAGCACTTGTGAACACAGGTTGAAGATTCGATACTCGAAAATGTAGTGTTAGTGCTTAAGCAGTTACACTCACACTGTGCCGTTACAAAGGCCAAAAGCCCCCAGCATTAAGCCTATTCAAGCCTATTTCATTAACAAACCGTAATGAAAAGCGAAAGTTACTCGCACACCTGCCTGCTACCCGCCGGCGTGCAGAGCCTTTTATTTCGTTGCCTACATTGCGGGGTGTCTTCGTCTTTTTTGAGATGCCAAAACGACTTGTCTCTGCCGTACGGTGCCGCTTCGGTGACTCGCATTTGCATATCTTTGCTACAGCACGACTTCGAGTCCGCAAAATAATAGCAAATAAATTAAATTACAATCAATGCCGAAGAGTGGTGAATGGCTGAAGATGCGCCTACAAGCGAGCCAAATACAAGTTTCGAATTTTCTGCATTATTGGTTTAGTTAAATTTCATTACATCAGTTATTCGCTCGCCACTTTTTGATTTTAATTGCCTAACTGTGTATATGAATACAAAGTTTTAAAATTGCAAGTTACTGAATGAAGTTGTATTTTTTTTTTTTTTCAGATTCTACGCAAAGTCGCAGTGATCGTGTACACCGCCTTGGACTACAACCTGACAGTGGATGAACAGTGTCAAATGTCACATGAGCTGGAGGAACTGATCGCTATCATGACAGCAGAAGGTATAGCATGAAATTTAATCCTTAGACATTAGGAGTATAGGCTCGCAGATTAGCTCTTATTCACAAGTTTGGACCGCATTACGTCAGTTAGCTATTGTTTTCTGCGTGCGCCCCACAGAACTTTGAGAAATAGCTGAACAAGCGCCAACTTAAAATATATAAATACATTTGAAATTATTGTCAACACGTGCTCAGCTGCCCACCAGAGGCGAGTGACGAATCGACCCAGTCACTACCGCTCGGTTCATTCCCTCATTTATTTACTCATATAAGTTGTTTTCCATTTTCTGGTTTATTTTTCATGAAATCAGCGCAAAATGCGAATCGGTGATCAACAATGCTTTTGCGCGGTTGTTTTTTATCTCTCGTTCGTTCTCATTTTCGTGTTCGTAATTGTTGGTGTCGTTGTTGTTGTTAGTGCATTAATTCAGTTGTTACACTTTTTTGCGTTATGTTTCGATTTATATTTTGAATGTGCATGTTGCTGTTGTAAATTTTGGTTTTGCGGCCAACCGCAAGCATCATGTCACCATCTGTCCGTTATCTGCGACTCGCGATCTGCGGTCTGTAGTTGGCGATCGCCGATCGGCGGTTTGTAATTCAGTCTCACTTCGAACCGAATATCATTTCCTGTCTGTCCGTGTGTTTGTGGTGTTGGTGTTGTAGTACGCGGCGCTGCATCAGCCGTTGCCCGACCACGAATTAAGAGTGGGTCTGATTTTTCAAGGACGCGTGTGACTGGTGCCCTGCTTCACGAACTTCGCTTTGATCGAAGCCAAGTGGCACACAACGCTCAACAGTGCGGTAGCCTGGTAGAAGTGGGGAAATAGGTTTGTATTGCAAAATACACAGGCTTTTTTTTACTAGCCGACTTTGGCTTTGTTGTCGCGAATGAATAACACATTTTGCATTTGGATCTCCATATTTAAATATTTCATTTTTATAGCAACCACAACGTCGATTAAACTGTTTGTTTGTTGTTGTTTTACTGTTTAAGAACTCGAATTAAATTTTCTCTGGTTTTCAGAAAACGATGATGACTGCATCGATGAGGGCATTGATGAGGGCCACCAACGTTGGGATGATGAAGGCGATGATGAGAAGTGGAATGAAACCAAAGAATTTGATTTTGTGCTTGAGGTAAGTTTCGAAGAATACTGCAGAACTTCAGGAAATGATATTCTTTTGTAAGCTCTATCTTTCTTATTATGAGATATAGCAACATGATACGACTTAAGGAACAATATTCCCCAGGAAGTATTTTGGCTAGAGACGAAGGGTCACTAATGTGCTAATATGTAATAAACAATGATCAATCCCAGGGTGCTTCTAAGACTATGCTGTAAAGCTCTTTGGCGAGCTGCAATAATCCAAATCAATTCACTGAGTTATGATTGCCCACCATTCCTCTGCTTAAATGCTAGGGTCTGTCATCGACGCTTCAATCTTTCGGTTTGTTCCCACACTTTTTCCGACACAAAATTGCTTGTATTCAATTACAAGCTGCATTTAACGAGCATAATTGCCGGACCGTTATAATATTTCAAAGCCATTGTTATCGTTGCAATCGCTGGTCGCTGCGGCTATGCTGCAATGCCTGCTGTCAGCTCCAGATCGAGTGTCCATTGAAGTGGATTAAGGAGTGCCCGCTGGTTTGCTTTAATTTGCTTACTTCTTATTTCGTAATATATTTTTATTTCGCTTCGTACTTCACTTTGACAAATGCACAGTTACGGATTGACAATCAGATTACGGCATTTAGGGCCACTAAACCAATTATCTGACAACGCATTGTTTGTGTTGCAGTACATTCGTTTCATAACTCCGAAATTTGATGGGAAACAAAGCGCACTCAACACTTTTGGAAATATAAATATTTGCGGAAAGCTATTTTCAAAAACTAGACGAAAGCAACTGACATTAGCTGCCAAATAAATATATTTTATTGGGAATCGAAATTTGGAATCGAACCCAAATCTTGCTCTAGCTTCCGTTCAAAATTTTAACACATTCTCTTTGCCACTTGTTGGACTCTTGCAGTCAATTAATATAAATTTCGTTACTAAAATGGGAATTGCGAGGTTACGTGCTGCAAGCCTGCGAATTGAAAGCTTTCCCTACCACCCATCTAGTTCAAGCGCCACCTCTCCGTCTAATGCATATAGATTGCTACAAATACACGGACTCACACACCTTTCTTTCGTAGCTCCCCACAAACGTCCACATGCATTGTGGGGCCTCTGGCAACAATGGACTAATAAAATACGTCAGCTGTCAGTGCGTTATAAACAAATGGCCAATATTCTAATGCCCGACAATGTGGCAGGCAGTCGATTGGTTGGGCCTCTCATGCAGACAGCTCAAGCTGGGCAATATTGGCGGCGTCTGGGCGCAGTGGCGAATGGCTGTTGTTGTTACTTTTGCTATTGCTTTGCTTCTGCACTTGCCGCACCGCAATAAGTCTAGCACACGGCGAGCCAAATCGTTCAACATTTGCACCATAACATGTGGCACAAGCATTCATATGCTGCTAACAGTTATAGAAACGTGCAACATGCCACAAAAGGCGGTTAGAAATGACCACCAACGTACTCGTGCAGCCAAATGAACACATTCTACTTATGCATGCGTGTGTGCGTGAATGTGTGAATCGCTATCGCACTCGTCGATTGCGGCAGCAAAGTTATGCAAAAACGCTGGTAGCTATGCAACGCTTTGCCATGTTTATTGTTGCTGGAATTTATGGCAGCGCACACATATACAGACGCGTGCATTCTTAATGTATAATATTTATATGGCGAAGTGCCAGCAAATGATAGACAAAGGTGAAAGGTGCTCCTGACAAAAACTGGAAAAGCAGCTGAGTTTTTTTTTTTAAAACGACTTCTGTCAAATAAATATTGGCACACTTCTCGCCTCGGCATTTTCTGGTCAGACCAGTTTTCCACATTATTTGTGGATTACAAATGGATAATAAAAGTTGCAATGTTTCTTTCCACAAGTGTACATGTGTCTGTAGAAGGCAAGTGGCAGGTGCCAAAAACATTTGTTGGCGATCGGCAGGTGCGGAAAATCTGAAGCTGCAAAGACAATGCGACAAAATAAACTTGGTCAGCCAACTTACATTGAGTTCCGTAGAGTAAAGTGCATCAATATGTGTGTGTAGTAGGTTTGTAAATACATTTCATATGGCAGCCTACTGAATAGCCGTTATTCAAATATTCCAATTTAACACACACTCGCACATTTTCACTGAAAAATATGGATCAAAGAAAGAGTAGTAAAATTCTATCAAACCCAACTATTTGCAATAGCTTATATTGAAATAAATGGAATGAAATCAGCTCGGTGCTTATTTGTATATAAATATGTATGTGTGTGTAACTACATACCAAATCTCTGCTCCTAAATAGCAAACACAGTGAGCCTACAGCAGTGCAGTTTAATTTTTCTCGCAATTTAACGGTAATAAATATTTCAAATAGCCAATGCTTCTAATAACTCGCGATATTAATAACCAGTTCAGACATAATCCGCTTGTACAACACAATTTTTGCGGCTGCACAACTGGCTGAGCGAGCTGCTTGCAAGCGCTTATGCCCGAGCGAGTCTACACACACACACACACATATGTATAAGCAAGCATATTATAGCGGATATAACAAAACGGCAACATTGCATCCCAGATATCAAATCACCATAAACAAGGTTGCATAACCCACTCGCTGGCATTAGATCCCACCCCGCCGCCGCATGCGCAGCTTGGCACCTTCACCGCAAACGATAATAACAATTTCCACATTCAAATGAATATTAAGAATTGTTATTGTTGCTGTTCCGCTGTGTGGCAAGTGTGACAAATGGCTGCTAACCGGCGATAGATGCAACGAGCATAAATATACCGTTTTGCAACGAAGAAAGCAGGCGCGCGGTAAGCACTGCTGTGGCATTGAAGCGTGTGATATTCGCATTAGAATGTGATCAAAGGCTGTCGAAGACCGGAGGTGATCGATGGACAAAACGTACAAGGCGAAGCGTTTGAGAGGCAGGGAAAGAAAAAATGCTCTTTAGCAAACAAACGTCGGCAGCGCAGCGGTCAGGCGTAACTCCGGCGGTGACTCAATCGCGGCGGCAGCCGATATGACAAAACAAATATGAAAACTGTAACAATTTTCTTTAATGAATTTTCACACGTAGTCGGCATTTTGCATTGCCTTTTTCACGCTTTGCTCTTAATTGTGCAGTTGCTGCGCGTTTTGCGGCTTTTTCAGCTATCAGGTAACAGCGAGGCGTGAAAAATTTCCAACTATGCAACAGCTTTATTCGTGCATAAGCGCATGCACATGCACGCTCTAACACTAGGCAATCATTGTTTTTGTTATTGTTTTGTTGTATCCGCCGACAATGTAAACAAGTATTCGGCACTTGACAGTCAACGGAGTCGCTCAAGTGCAGCAATTCCAGTCCATCCATATCTGTATTTACATACTCCAATATATACTCTTATGTATGTACCTACATATTATATTTAGTATGTATATATTTTTTTATAGAATATTCATTGTGAAGTATTTAACTTGTTAGCGGTCCACTAAAATTTTTACAAATCGACAGTTCTCAAATGTCTAGTAATTCATTTTTATTGTTTTATTTACGCTAAATTGTTGTGTCCATTTTATTATAGGCCTGTAAAAATCACGTTAAGCCCACTGTACCTGAGGAGCATTACAAGGCGGTCTGTCGTGCGCTGGTTACGGAAACAATCGAGCTGCGGATATTCCTGCAGCAGGTCTTGAACGATGGTGAGTGCAAACAATTCAAGATTTCACTGTCGGAGCAAGATTTAAAATAATCTATAGTCACATAAATTTTATAACATAGAAAAGATACATTCGAAATCTTAGATATATTATTACTTATATATTTCACCATATAACTGTGTCTTGTGATTTTGAAAGGTGCCGACAATCTCCACTTAGAAGCCGGTTCACAAACATCAAAACAGGAACTGGCCAAACTGGGCTTCAATGATTGGGTAAGTCTCAAATACGCTTGCTAGATAAAGAACGCTTGCTGGAAGAAATCTAACTGACTTTGAACTCAAAAAAAAAAAAAAAAACATACTGATAATGGATTGGAACCCATTAGAAACGAAAGATAAAGTATCAAATATTAAGGGAAAATTAATTTACTCTAGTCAAATTGTCTCTAAACTTTTGCAGTTTGTAAAAATATTCAAAGCAGAGGTCTAAATTTTAATCAAAACTGAAGACCAAGTTAGTTGGTTATAGATATACATATATAGTTGGTTGGTTAGTATGTATTGGGTGGTCGAAGAAGTCTTTTCGTATTTCTAATCAAACTTCAACTTATTTTTTTATATTTATACTAATAAATAAATAAACAATTACCATTTGTTCGACAAATGTTCGCCATTTTTCCGCTAGAGACATTATTCCATAATTTTTGTTTAAATGAAGCATAAAATCTCACCTTTTCAACACCATATGGTATGGCACAATGTGATTGGTAGCACTGGATATATACGACTGCAACAAAATACGAAAATACTTTTTCGACTACCCAATATGTATGTAAGGGAAGTTTTTAATTTGAATTAATGGTCAAAAACATTCGATCGAAACGAGGCACACCCTTCGCTGCTATCAATTCTACGCACCTATTTACATTGTTGGTTCAAAGAGCTAATGTTAATCACAGCACGCTATTTAGGGCTAATTCACTGTGATCATGCCCTTTAATTGAATTAGCTGAATCCAACAAAGCTGAATTTGCCAACACGCATACCGGACTGTGTGCGTGTGAGTGTGAATCCAGTGCCAGCTATATGACAGGCTATGAGTGATGAAGACCACTTGTATTGGAGTTGTTTAGCTCTGTTACATAACCAATCAAAGCGCAGATACAGATATGTGATAAATACATATAAACAATATTATCTCAACAGAGCCGCTTTGATCGGTGCGTAAGGCGTCACAATGATTTATTGCCACGGTTTTCTCAAAAGGCAAAACGAGAGCGGTTAAATAGAGAGCACTTACACAAAGCAAATGCCGCACCTCGATACATTTTGATATTCGACCAGGTATTATAATAATTAATTCAGTTCGAGCCAGTATGTCCGCTCTAATTGAAATGAAAACATGGAAAACAAGATTGTTTTAAAAACAATTTAAAAGTTAGCTACGCAATGCTTTCATTTTACCGAAAAAAGTGGTTGCATTACATTGCTGCTAAGTTTTTTCCAAATAACATGTTGTACACATGTTTTATGTACTTACGTATGCACAAATTGAGCCAGGTGTGTGTGCACGACCCTTCACACGACAATTATGTGCTCGCCTTAATGCCGGCTTTAATGATCCTCGCTTATTTTTTTGTGGCGGCCATAACGCGCTGGTTAAACGCTTGAAAACTCATTTGGTTATATAATGTGTGTAAGCGCTTTCTTTTCAACTCATTTGTTGGCAATTCGTTTTGGTTAACAACTGCAAGTGACAACTCATTAGATTAGAAATACGATAAACGAATTTGTAGACTCCCTCGCGAAGACTTACGCAGGCAGTTATGTCTATATGTATTTTTGTTCATAATTACTTATTGTCACGAAGAAAACAGCGCAAAAACTTTGAGATCAAAGAAATGATCGATCAAACGTATTATATTTGAGTAACGGAAGTCGTAACAAAATTAGAAACTACTTTCTAACACAACCCAGAGCACAAATGTAGATACTTGGATATACATATGTGTGTGTGTACTTAAATATGTCTCTACATGAAAATATGTAAAAACATGTTTATACATTTTTATATAACCCGTTATTATTTCTTGATTGTTTTTAAAGCTGAAATAACACTTTTATTCAATTATTTAATGGTGAGTGCGCAGAAAACCTTGATTCATGCTGATTTCACAGTATTATTCGATTATAGTAAAAACGTATTACACTGGCATAAAGCTCACTTGAAGGCGATTTATACATACCCACTTTACTATTCAAATTAACATCGAAATACCGGTGAGAGCCCATCAAGTTCATGGAAATGTGTTAGCAGCCTTGCTTATCAGCATAATATGTCTTTACCAGAAACCATTAATAAATCAAATATATTGCATTCAGTAGTGTAGTACCCTCAGTTAGTTATGTACACTAACTCCTTCTCACTATTTGTTAAAGTTGTCGCACTTCTTTAAACTTATCTGTACAACGTCCAAATTGCCCTTTACTCCTCCATTTGGCTATAAATTCAGCGATAACTTCTGCTATTGCTACTTTACGGTTCATAATTCATATCTCATTTACTCCTTATCGCTTTATGATTTCCTTCAATTGACGCTCTATTTTCAGTCGCATTTATCAGTGTCTTTTCGCGTCATGTGCTTCAGATATAGATATATTCGAGCACTTAAAAAAGAGAACAAATACAATCAAAAATTTAAATGAAGCAAGTGTCGCTCTCCTAAACGAACTCGCTTCGGGCTCTTATCAAGCGCCAAAAATCTGGGTAAATAGTCGCAGTTTATAGTTAAACGGCCTTGCCAATGTCATTTGCCGCGGCATAATGATTGTAAATGTATTTATACTTCCAACTTCATTCGTACTCACTAAGTTTGTTTTAAGTCTTTTTTCGTCTGAAACATTCGATGACAATTGAAATTCACAGTTTATTTGCTCAATCGTGAGTTGCCACTCGGCTTTCATTGTCTCACCTTGTTTATGCTTATGTTTTGTGTTAGTCTAAAGTATCGATTTGAAAACTTTACACAGACATCATAAAATAACGTACAATTGAAATATAGTACGTGTCGCTAAGTAAAGAGGCATAATTAATTGCGCGTCGATTTTGCATTGTTCAATTATTAAACTATTTATAAAATTTCATACCTTCAAATTGTGAATGGCATTCAGCAAAACAAATTCTCAAATTCTCTATTAAGCGATTTCTAAGCATTGCATAAAGCAGCCTTGAGGCATTGACTGGCTGCTGGAGTCATTGCATTATGGTAGTTTGTGCTAACATTTACATTCAAATATTTCTATAATCGGCTCAGAAAACGTAGATATGTCTGGCTTTGTAAAGAGTGACCCAGTGATATTTGTAAACGGAGAGTACATAGGCCTAGATATATCTTCAATTTGGGGTTGTATCACTGTATTACAAGGCACAAATGCTTGGTTATGTGTTTATATCTATATTTTCGATTGAAGTGACGACCACTAAGAAAATAATACTTTTTGCCTAGGCCTTGCGAAGTGGTGATGCACTTTTTTGCCACTTCACTAAGGTGGCCGCTATGAAAGCAAGCAAAATAAAACAATGGACGCCCCCTCTATTGGACACATGCCCCTACCTGGTGTTTTTAAGAAACGACGGTTATTTATAGTATATAATGTTTGCAAATAGCTTACCTCAAGTAGCATTGTTTATAACAGGAAATTGATATTGATTCCCAACTTGTGTACGCACAATTTGATTTTCATCACACACATTTTTACACTACATTTTCACTTCTTTTAACCGCACAAACTCGTACACTTACTGCATAGAAATTTACTTAATCACTTTAAACTTTATACTTTAACAATTTTGGTTATATAATATAAAATTAATGAAACCGCGAATTCACGAATTAACGCCGAGTTTTAACAGCTGACTTTAAAGCGCAAGGAAGGAAACTGACAGATGACAATAGCGCCATCCTTTGAATATTTCCGTGAATAGCAGAGTTGCGTTCTGATAAATAGTTTACTACAAATAATGAAATAAACTCAGTGTAACAAAAATATTTTGCAAACAGGCTCTTAAAATTGAGTTAAAATTTTTTTAAAGAAATAATGTTGAAAGAAATGTTTGATGCTTACATAAATACTTTAAAATCCCTTAGAGTGCCACTGCTTAGTGTAATGCGTAGTATTAATGCAACTCTGCTGCGTTAATCACCTGTTCTAGTCAGTATCCGCTTTGTGTTGAACTTTTCAGATGCAACACTTCAAACAGTCAGCTGTTCTAATTGGTTTCCGCCAAAAACTAAAGAGAAGATGTTAGTAAAGACAGAATAAGTTTAAAAAGATAAAGTTGAATTTAAGTTATTATATGTGTATATTATATTATTATTTGTGGAACATTTTAAAGTTAAAAATACATTAATATGCTCCCTAAAATACTGCAACGTGCGATAATTTGAAACCTCTTTATGCTAATATTAATGATGACAAAGTATTTGGAGCGGTGGAACAACGTTTTCGCAATCATTTGTGTACTAGATAGATAAATAGCGCCAAATTGTTATCATCGTGAGGTGAGTGACCAAGTTACGCGAAAAACTCAGACTATTTCTTCCATTTAAAGATTTAAAGACGTCTTGCAGCGTTGGGTGGCGCCCAGTCAACCAGCCAGCCCATCAGTTAGTCCCTCAGTTAGTCAACCGATGAAGCGTTGTAATGTGTTGAAACTATTCACGCCAACGCAAAATCTGATAGCCACTGCTACTGTGCTGGATGGAGTCACTGTTGTGACTTTAATCGACTACTGTTTGTGTAATACCGCTATAAACGTACCAAATCGAACACCTTCCGGTGGAGGCGGGTGAGCCAAGGTGCGACCGTAAGCTACTGTACTGTTGTAATATCTTTCAGTCACGGTTGCTGCATTTCAGCAGCAATATTCAACAACTGCGGTACCCTCGTTTGCGGCGGTTTTGTTGGCGGCGCACTCGTTAGGCCTCAGCCCAATTACAACAAAATTTTCTTTTACAAATTTTCAATCACATTTAAGCTAGTAAATATCGGCGATTACGACTCAACAACGGCCGCCCCGCCATACTATCTGTTATGTTGTCTGCAGAGGCAACGAATGCAAGACATTTTTCCTGTTGCATATGCATAAGTGACTCGCTGGTTGCCCACATGCTATGCAGATTTTTGCTTTGCGGAAGCTGTAATTCTTTGTTGTTGCCCCAATTTATTGGAACAATTTTCACTTTTTTCGTGCAGTGTCTTTGGTGCGTATCGTTGCGCTGCACTGAATGTACAGATTTTGTAAAATTGCCGCTGCTTTGAACTTTTTCATTCATTTTCCACCTTCAATAAACAACATAATCGCCAAAAAATAACAACAGCAATAGAGGTAGGAACAAGCCTAAACTGCTGGCTGTTATGTTGTTATTTATGCTAATACAACTTGTTGTACATACGCACCTTCTTTCCTATTTACTTATATGTACGTGCATGTGCCCATTGTTGTTGCCTATTGCTGGCTGCTTTACATATTTTCACATTTTGGCAGATTTGGTTCGTTAAATGTTGTCGGCTGCCATGTTAAATCATCATTGAATTGCATTGCATCATGTTACTGTAAGCACAACGTCGGGTCCAAAAACAAAAAACAACAGAAAAGGCACTGCTTTTGGATATTAACATGCAATCTAATTTGCATTGATTTGAAATGGAATTGTTGTAATCGTTCGTCGCACATTTCAAAGCTTTTAATCGGTTGCAGCAAGGAAATATTAATTGCAGTACAGGTGTAAGGAAGTATGTACCATATTTATAGATGCTTTTTAACTATTGAACTCTAGTGCCATGTTGTGATAAGAAAGGAAGAGGAAGTGGGACTCTTGTACCGTTCAACGTATGCTGTGAGTTTTCTAAGTGCGCCCATATAAATGCATAAAACATATTTATTTTTCATTTCTCACATAAAAAAACTTGTGTTACACTGGACTTAAAATTATCTACTGTATATCACCAATTGATTTCAAAATCGAAAATAGCCCTATTTGTAATACACGAATAATCAAAGAAATCAAAGAAACCAACAAAATGTCACTCAAAAGAATTCCGTTACAAAATCGGGCTTCAAGCGCCTACGCAATCGTTGACGGTCGTTTGTAAGTTGAACGTCGCCACTAACGAATTCAATGGAATTTTTTGACACTTGTTTGGCGTTACATAAGAATTATGCAAATTACGGTAATATTGTGCAGTTGAAATTATTGAAATAACAAACAAAAACGACCAAATACAAACGAGAAATTGGAACGAACGCGCGTCGGGAAAATTTACCGGTCTCACGCACGCGTTCGTTAGCAACCACTTCTCCCGCTATATCTTCAACCTCATTGCAACAAACGAAAATACCCAAGATAATAATAAATAAACACCTGTTAGCGGTGAACGGTCTGGAAAGGGTGAATATTAAATCAATTGATTCGTCGCTTACCGAGGCGATGACAAATTAGATACTCGATGCATTTTGTGCAACAGCACGTAAATTAACTTAACTCTCAACAAAGCGGATTAATAAAATGTGTTGAAATATCTTCGAAACCATGTGCTGATATTTACCAATCCAACTAAACGCATATGGAAGTGTGTATATTCTGACGAAGCTCTACCCCATTTACCTTGTAACCATATATAATATTTTAAGATGGTTGGTTATAGGGGAAAAAAGGGAGTTTACGCAAAATGTCCTTGAATAGCGATATATGTAATAAAACTTGTGCTGATATAAAATGTCGCGTTATTTGTCGTAGAAGTCATTATGCGAATCCGTGACATGTATCAAAGTAACATTTACTTCTCTTTTGGTATTAAAATTGTTTACATGTCTCTTACACCAAGGCGAAATCATTAATAATTCGCCGAAATGCAAAGCGAGACAATATGTTGCAACGTTTTATTAATTGCAAGCGGGAATAAATTTTACACTCTCGCCCGCAGTCATAATACGCCACCACACTACGTTACTGTAGTCGCCTCGTAGCGCTAAAAAGCAAATAAAAATAAGTAAATAAATAAGCAAAAGTGAAAAAATGCAACACAGCACAATTTTTCATAAATTTATCGCCAATGAAAGGATCTGCGTGCGAGTGTGGCAATGCAAACAATGCCGCTGGCAAAAAATGAAAGACAGCAGCGGCAGCAACAACAACTAGCATGACGGTTGCAGCGACATTGATCGCACTTGCAGCGCACAATAATCAGCGTGTTGCAAGTGAAAGTCGCTGTGCGCTACACTGCTGCGGCACTGCGTCGGTGCAACGGCAGCTGTGATGGCCAAGTCAGTTGGGTGCGGACCCTGCACACCGCGGCGCAAAAAGTAGGCGTGTGCCGTACGTTTGTATGTTTTCGTGACATTAATTAATGTGACGATTTCAATTTCATTTATTCGGCGGCAATTGCTGCTGCGATTTCTTAAATTTCAATGGCAACTGCGCAGAGTTGGAACGAAAGCCAAAGGCAACAAGCAAAGCAGTCCACAAGAAGAGCGGATAACTGCCAGATAGCGATTATGTGTACTTCTGTCTGTTGGGGCATGCGTCTGCAGCGAAGATCAATGCTGCAAGTGCAAAATTATGCAATTATCATGTTCCTTTTGCCTCGCTTCAGATTTATTGTATTGCTGTTTACACAGCCTATGTTTATAACGGCAAATCGATTATGTTTTGCAATTCTCTTTTCCACGCAATTATAGCTCTGTTGGCAAAATTTCATCTTAGCAATAAAATTGTGAATTGCAGATGTTTTTTTTTTTTTTTTTTTTTTGCATTTTTGCGTGTTGCATCGCTATTCTTTGATCTCGGAGACACGCCATCTGTTTGCCTATGTTCCTGCTACTGTCGAAAATTGTTTAGATTTATCAATGTTTGCCATAACACATTGTACATATCTATCTAACCTTTGATTTTCCCGATCTAGTGTAAATAATATTGGAATATTTGTGTGCAGTAGCATTGTGTGGCAATGCTCTTATAATAATTTTGTACATAAGGCTATAAGAGCATTGAAATTTATTTCGGAATAATTCCAAATATCTTTTCCTTCTCTTTAAAACTAAAGCATGAACTGGAAATTTGGAGGGCCCTGCAAGTATGTTCCATCTTATTCCCTTTTGTAACTTTTCATAAAGATTTGTTGCAATAGAATATTATATTGCATGAAAAATTCATAGCACACATAACAATATTTGCATGTGCAACATTAAAATTGGCGATTTTGAATTATTAGTCCATTAGACATTAGATTTTATTCAAAATCGAATGTGTTCAGCGATATTTCAAATTCTAAGATACTATATATCTGTACTCATTTCTTATTTTTATCAAAAATTACAAAAAAATTTCTCATCTTCGTTATTACAAGTCTTTCCGCATGCGATTTTTTCTTATAGCTTAGTTTTTCATAATTCTTGTTATAGACCAAGCTCTTCTTTCGTACTATTTTCTTATGAATGCATCTTTAATTTTCAGGCACGTTTCTGGGTTCAGGTGATCGATGAACTACGGCGCGGTGTTCGTCTGAAGAAAAACAATTATTCCCGCACACCCATCGAGTACGAGTTGACTCCGTATGAGATACTCATGGAGGACATACGATCCAAGTAAGTGAAGCTTGCAGATACTGACTCAGTCAAGAATCAAGAATTTATGCAGGTTACTGAGCATACGATATGCCATTTTTCTCTTATTCCCTTCGCTTGTTCCTCTCCGTCACAAATTTATCTCTATCGCACTTTGTAACATTAACTTTAATATTTATATATTTCTCCTATTCGTAGAAAGTACCAGCTGCGCAAAGTGATGGTGAACGGTGATATTCCGCCACGCGTGAAGAAAGATGCCCACGCCATGATATTGGAGTTCATCAGGTCACGGCCGCCACTCAAAAAGGTATGCCCCACCACACTCAAACATAGATACAATACCCTTTTCCCCGGATAATGACGATCATCTCCGCTTCTCGCGTGCATCGCACACAGTTTCACTCCTCATTTCGGCACAGTTGTGGTTTTGGGATTTTATTAGTTTTATAAGCGCTGTTTGCCTTGGTGAAGTTTTACCTTCGAAAAGTTTGCCAACTTCTTTGCTTTGTTTCAACTTTGTTGTTGGTTTTTGGAAAAGTGTTAAGTAGGCAATTTTCATTACACGTTCCTGTGGTAATTGTTAATAATCACACTGGCGAAAGAGTAGCAGTAAAACCATTTGAGTGGGAAGGTTTCCTACCAAGATTGTAATTTATCTGCGAAAAAACAACTACAAAAAGCCATCAAACGGTGTAAAGGCGCTTTTACGCCTTAATTGAAGGTCTTTTGTTTTAGCAAATTAAAAATATACTCTCAAAAACCATGTTAAGTTCATATATATTTATGTATCAACCCTATTGTCTAGGCTACTAGTTGAATTTTCGAAAGTTTTTTCCATATCTGACTTTTACTGTCATTGCAGGCGTCCGAACGTAAACTACCGCCACCCATTAAACGCACACCATCGCCGCGCGAACAACTCATGGACTCGATACGAAAGGGACAAACACTGAAGCACATACAACCGCCAACACCACCCCGACTCAAGGATCGATGTAAGTCAAAATCAAATTACATATGTATATGCCTATAATAACACGTTCCGATCGCCACTTAATTACGAGATTTAGGCTGTTGAGTAAATTATCTCACCAATATCCGAAATTTAACAAGATTTCGCCGTACAAAAACCATGCTTGTTAACCTCGCCGTCGAGGAGATTTGAAACTGATCTAATCAAAATCTCCCAGTGCGATCCTTATTTAGCGCCATCTGTTTGTCAGTAGGGAAATTTATCAAATTATCACAGCTGACTTAAACATTACAAAGAGAGAGAGAAAATATTAAACGATGTAATTTGTGTGTGTTAAAAACAGCTGTTTTATAAATCTTCAACGGCAGTGAGGACAGTGTAGATCAGTTAGTATATTAAATGAAATCTAATCACTTTAAATTTTTGAACGAATAAGAACCACAAACACATGACAAAACATACAAAAGACAAAATAAAGACGCAAATGAAATACAACACTGCTGAATCGGAATTCGACCACTTCCCCGGCTGTACTTAGAAGTATCAATTGAAAGGCTCCTGCAACAAAAAGTGCCTTGCTTGGTAGGACGTATTCGAGCAGCATAAAATATGCCACTTGCTGACAGGGGACGCTTGATTGTCCAACAGCACGCGACAGCGCAGCTCGTCGCACCATGCTCGCTACGGCTTTGTTGCAAGCAATTTGAATTTCATTTGACTACTCGTATTTAGGCGCGGCAAATCGCTCGTTTGTTCAGCAAATGCCAGACATGGGCTGCTACTCTCGGAGTGTACTGCTGCAATTCTATGCGGTTGCGGTCGATCGCTTGCGAAGCATCACTGCGCATGTCATTCTGCACCATTCCATTATGTTCTATTGAATGCCACAGTGCTTACAACTGCATAACGATATCGCAACGTTTTTACATAAGTTTGCATGTGTGTGTTTTGTGCTGCCTGCTGACCACTGCTGATGCGGCCACAAAGTGGCACGATTGGCGGCACCAAACTTGGGCAATGTTTAGCATGATTTAGAATTGCAAAGTGCCGTGGAACGCGCGCCGCTTTGATCAGCGAATTGGCGTTGTTGTACGATTTGTCAGCTGCCAAAAACAGTGTAGCAAGTGAAGGATTTACTGTTGCTGGTGAGAAAGATTAAGGCAATGTCACAAATTTGCATTACTTCAAAAGGTGAACTCGCACGGGGTTTCTGAGGATTGAAGCAATTCAACTGGGAAATTTAGATAGAAATAGGTGAGATTTTCTAGTAATGCATCTTTTGGTGAATATCAACATTAGGGAAACCACAAGTTTCCCATACATTCTTATACTCTCTCTGCTTCAGAAAGATGCTGGGAATGTTTGTCCCTTATTGAGATCAGATTTGCACTTTCAACAAACTTCGCATAGGTTTTAATTCCAGTTTTTGGTGTAATCAGTACCTGAACCTGATTGCAACAACTCTTAATCAATGCTTTTCGAGGTCTCCTCTTTTAAATTCTCTAATTGATGTGGCTGCCAATAAAGGCATATTTTTATACTTGTAAGCTATGAGCTGTGTGGCAACTACGTCCATTTAGCGCTAAAAATTTTAGAACCGCCCTTGTTTTTGTGCATATTTTTAGGCGCGTTGCAATAGATTTCACTATTTCGAATGTGTATGGGCATGAATGTGTCTTTCTTAACAATTTCCTTCTCTCCCCAACAGCAGCGACTTCAGCTGAACAAAAGTTTTTAAGCGAAGCTTTCAAAAGCTTTTTGCTGCTGTTGTAACCATTTGCATCATATTTACTTGTAGATTGCAATTCACTGCGTTTAACAATAGTTTGACTTGTGATAACAACTTGTCACTAACGAAGTGTCAGCCACGAATGAAGCAACAGCATCTTGCTGAATGTTAAGTTTTTTCGTGTGGTAAAATTTCGTTTTTGGAAATGTTTGGTGTGTGTGTGGCAATTAACAGGTATCTTTTTATGAAATTAGCATCCTGCCTCAGTGTGTAATAAGTATTTGGCTTTAAAGTAGCAGTCCGAAAAAAACTAAGTAATGAAGATGATATTGCTTGATATTTTGAACAAGCTTAAATCTATATTTGTATAAGGACGCTGGTGATTTCCTTTTTTTTTTGTTTTTAGTTATAGTAAATTCCATAAGTTTAGAAATAAAATATTCACTGCGTTTAAATGTTATATATTATGTATGTACAGCAACAATTCTGCTGGGCGTCACGCTCCTCTGACCAAAATAACAGACCGACAAATGCCAGTAGAAATTCAAAATGTCACTCGAGTGTGAATTAATTTTTGTATGCGACGAGTAGTGGATAAGGAAATATGTTTCAGCATAAGTGTACTCTTTAACCGACTTTCTTTAAGAAACTTACCACTCGCCCCCTGGGTTAATGATGCAACTCTGGTAAAGAACTAACTATGTTGCTTTCCTAACTTGCAGATCATTATTTTCGCTATATTTTGTGCGAGGGTTATGTATGTATGTATGTATGTTTCAGTTTAGCATGATTGTTCAGTTAGCATAATGCCAACGAGTAATATAATGGTTGCACAATCAAATAAACGGACATAATACGATGTGTAATTAACACACTCACTTCATAGCGCCACTTGCCCACAGAGCGTAGTGTCACACGGACGTAGTCTGTGAGTATTTGGTTGGATATATGGACAATGTAAAACTAAGTTTACATAAGGGTGCACACACATTCACTGTGTGATTTACTGGTTGCAGTAGAGTCAATTATCCCTTTATCGCTGACGTCATGAACTCGCTCACCTACATAAATCGCTTCAGCGTAAATGCATTTTAATTTCTTGCTAAGCTTTCAAATGTGACGTCAATATTAAGCTCCGTGTTGCATACCACAAGCTTGGAATTGCTTCTACTTCGCAACCCTTACTGCTGAGCTTTCTGCCTTACTAGTGTGAGCTGTGGCAGTGCGCTTGTGCAATAACAGTCGGAACAAGGTGGCATTTTATGCTCAAAGCTTGCGCTCACTGCACCCAGTAGTCACTTCTTGAGTGCATACCAAACATGCGACTGTTCCACACAGAGACATCGGCAGAAGCATAGATTCGTCTTTAACACTTTAGAGAGCTCTCTTTAAAGATTGCTTCAAATAAAATCGAATTAAGAATTGTAGCTTTTCTTCAAGAATTGATTTTATGCGTGAGACAAAAAAGTAACATAGCAGTTGGTAGGGTGTGCACCCCATTGTTAATCACTGTCCCCCTTTTAACGTCTATCGAGTTCATTGTGGATTTTTATAACCGTATGTGGATAACTGTGCGCTCAAGCACAGGCAACAGAGCGCGTTGAACAACCACCATTGGTTATGGTGAGCATAAATGTAGGCAAGGTGAAAATGGAACGGCAACATCAGCCAGCTGCAAGTAGCTCCCGCTGGCTTTTGGTTGGCTGCCGTGCGAACACGAATTTCAGTTTGATGTCGGACTTTCTGCGAAATGGTGCGTGAAACGGAATCTAAAATATCAACAAAATAAGTAGTAACGTGACGCGAACACCAGTGCTAACGGGAAAGGTGTTGTGCACTCTGTGTGGCGTGTAGTTGGTGGCATGTACAATATTTTCATAAAGCCCACCATATAGTGATGAATTGCATAAATATATATGTACATTTGCATTAATTTGCGCATATGAGGATGTGCGTCACCCAGCGGTGAGTGTGGCAAGTGATGGTCAACATTAAATGTATCGCAAGCGGAGCGAGCGTCCACAGTTCGCTCTATGGCTCTATGTCATTTGGAAATCGTATTCCATGCATCTGCACCGCAGCATATGACACTTATTTAGCTGAGGGAAGTCGCGTGAAGTGAGAGGAAAGGACACTTCTAAAGGTCTTCTCGTAATTTATAAATATGAAAAGCCTTTTTCATTGCGAAAGTGACCTTAAACAGCATAACACACCCAACAACAAAGGTGGCTCTCCCTACATTTGACATGCCATAATCACTAGCCCGATAGCAAACCAACCAACTGAGCTACATACTGGCTGCAGAGCTTGCATGCCATTGTGGGTTGTAAAGTGTACAAAGGCGTAAAAATAACTTAAGGTTTATGCAGAGTATTTATGTAGCTACATATGAACCTCGTAGCGCCAAAGCCAAGGCTACGAAGCCTCCGATGAGCTAACTTAATTTATTTAATATTAAAATGGTCTCAAAAATTATAGCTTAATGATGTGGACAGTCTTTAAAGAACAGTCTCAGCTCTTCCATTTGCTTAACTTTCCAAAAGGCTTAACTTTCCTTAAGGCAACAAAAGTATGCCAAACAGTAGGAATGGTTCGTGCGCCTTGAACTATACATTGAGAAAATTAAAATTCAATTGCCACTCGGGAAGCCAAAGCGTTGTTTCAGTGAAAGTTTCAGCATAATTACCGTATTCTTAAATTCAAGTATTCTCACTCTGTTCGCTGTGTTGCACTCGAATTGCATTCATACACACACACATACACATGCAGATATGATTTAGCATCCTTCGCAATGACACTCTCGCCGTGGCAATTTGTTTACTACAACCACTTAGTGTTATCATCATTGTTGTTGTGCATTATTATTGCCACAACTCTTAACTTAATCGCAACTCTTAATGCTGGAACGAGTAGCTCATAAAGCAGACGGCACACCTCCCACGCGACGCTCCACTCCGCCCCAGGAAAGTGTTATATCCTTCGTTTGTGCACTTCGCCAATTCGCGTTGACACTCACCAATCCCCGCTGTGCGTTTCAGCTTTGGATCGATAGCAAGCGGAAAGCGCTCATGCTCGCGAGCGGCATAAAAGTGTCTGTGAGCGCATAAGGGAAGCTTGTGCGCCCTCCGTGCAACAAACGTGCGAATGGAACATTGTGGCAATGAAACACCCCAGTGTGACACAGCGAAAAGTGACGAGGCGCACAAACATGTGATGAAGCGATTAATACTCGTTTCAAATTAGCAGTGAAAGGACGGCTGTGAGTTGTGGCAAGGCGCTCGATAATTGAGTTGAAGGAAAATGCTAGTGTTTTATAATAAGAATAGTGCAATAAAGAATAGTGAAATTAACAGTTAAATAATGAAAATGATATATGCCTAAGCAAATGCTGATTGAAATGCGCAGAGCGTTCTTATAACGGTATCCACAACAAGTGCAATAAATCATAAGTAATTAAATGTGTTCCATTTCCAATGAGTGCTAAAGTGCCAAATGTCAAAAAGCAGCATCAGCAGCAACAGCAACAGCAACAAAAGCAAACAAAACCGAAAAGCTCGCAGCCTAAGAACAACAAATCCAGCAGTAGCAGCAACAACAGCACAATCGCAACAACAACAAAAGCAGCAACGCACAAAAGTAGCAGCAGAACAACAAAGATGACAACAACCAGCGGCTTTGTTGCACCCAGCACAGCGGCCATGTCCGCTTCCGCTGGCGCCGATTTAAATCACACAGCAACGGAAGCCAAAGAGGTGGAGGCGGTGGACGTGGCCAGTGACGCTTTGTATTGCGGTAGCAGCGCGCAAGAAACGCAAAAACAAAAGCAGCAGCAGGAGACGGATGAGCCGCAGCCGCCGCCTAGAGCAGCGCCGCGCGGTAATCCGCCAACGCCGAAGCCCCGCTCAGGTAAGGCTTACGGTCGGCTGCAGGTGGACTGTTCACTAAGTGACCTGGTTTTGTCGCTGCATTATAGTTGAGAGTGCCGTGTGATGCTTCCCCTCAATGTCCAATACACCTCTCTGCAATAACTGGGGCAATGCACTGCTTTCAATCCTAAGAGTTGAGAGCTTTCTTATTTTCTTAAATATTTATTTTATTGTCGAAATTTAGACGGGGAGTCCTGCGAAGGTAAGCTTCCCAGTTGTCGATTTCTTGGGCGGTGGGGCATGCAACTTTACGTTTCCTGAACACAATGTGGTGCCTACGAAGGATTGCGTGCAACAATGAGTCCGCTGGCAACGCTAAAGAATACCCATATGCACCACTTACTTGGTTGCAAACACGTACATGCCTACATAAGTGCGCGAGTACAGGGTAAATACTTTGGTAAATATATCCTATTGAGTATAAAACAAAAGATATGAATGTAGCAAGTCCATGCGACCCATATTCTTGGTTCCCATGGCAAGGGGCCAAATAAACCAACACACCTCCACCAAGTGGCAGTACGCAGTGTGTGCTGTACGCTGGAAGAGCGCACTCGGTTCTTGAACAGTTAACTGTGGCCATAAGTATGTACATATGTACACTTGTATATATGTATGCACATATATTTGTACGTAAATAAGTAGGTGAATATTCCTTTTACTATAAAAGCGCTATCCGCCTTCAGCCCCCTCCGCTCTCCTCACGTAGTTCCGAATGTCGCTTTGTTCGAAAGCGTGTTGCAAGTTGCTGTGGGCAAAGTGTTAGTCCAAATCATTAAAATTGCATGTTACCGCATTGTGCTCGTGTAAGCTTTTAAGCGCTTAAGCAGTACGCTGCAGGGACTGAGTGAGGCATGCTAAGTAATCGCGCGTAAGTGCAACAGCACAGCTCCTCAATATTCTTTTAGAATTTTTCAATTGACACTTTTAGTTGAATTTTGCGCTAAATGCTTGCTTCCTATGTGCTAATCTGTGTGTGTGTGTGTGTGTGTGTGTGTGCCTTCGTAAGCTTTGTGGGCGTCGATGGGACGGATGATTTGTGGCTGCCGTGAATGCGTATCGATTTTTAATTAATGTGGGTTATTCACCACTTAACAGGGACTGACATACATACATACATACTACCTGTGCGCTATTCGAGCTCTTTAATTAGGCGCCGACTAATATTCTCTCATATTACGATTTTGTTTGTTCGCCGCTTGCCTTGTGATCAGTTTGTGTCACACTGAAAAATAGCTTTGCCACACTGAAAAATAACTTTGGAAAATGTGTATGAATGTTGCACGTACATATATGTATGTGACCGCTGTCTACTCACATTATTGCTCTAGATACCAGGCCCTTTACTTATTACTGCTTTTCTGTTTCTCTTTGCCTAGATTCATTATTTACGCTTAATCTATGTCTATGTATGTCTATTACCAGAGAAAAACTGTCATTCAGTGTGCAAATGTTTCTTACAAACTGTGTAAAACGGGTTCGAAAAGAGTTTTTCTTTTTGTTTTACAAGAATTTGTGGTGCCTAGTTGGATTAATAGACATGTGAACTCATACAAGTACATACTTTTGAATTAACTGAACAATCGGTATTTTGTTACACTTTTTTTGTTTTTGTTTGGGTTGCCTCACGCACTTTTTTGTTACGAAATTTATGTTCTTGTGTGTCGCCTTTGCTGACAGAGCTGGTCATTAAAACGGGAATTGCTTTTTGGAAGCCATGACACTGAACCACTTGATGTTGCAAGTAGATTTTTTTTTAAATTTATGGCAGTGACGAAGAAAATCAACAACTGGCCAGATATTCACCATGCGTCAAATCTTGAACAAGATCCGTGAAAAGAGGAAGGAAGGTACTACCTTCTATAAGAGTGTACAACTGCCGTTAGTTCTGTTTACTTTAGAATAGATTAGCAAGCGAAGTAATGGGTGTCATCAAACAAGCCGTCGCGACTTGGCTTCCACTTTACTGTGGACCGTCATAACTTTGAAGTTATAGGTAATTTCGTCTATCTTGGAACCAGCATCAACACCCACAACAACATCAGCCTCGAAATCCAACGCAGAATATCTCTTGCCAACAGGATGCTACTTCGGACTAAGTAGGCAATTGAGAAGTAAAGTTCTTTACGCATTAGTCACGGCAAATACCGCATTCGATGGAACGATGCACTGTATGAGATATACCAGGACATTGACATAGCTCAACGAATTAAAAGACAGTGGCTACGCTGTCCTGGTCATGTCTGACTGGACGAAAGTATTCGACGCTGTACTTGACGGGGGAAGTAGATGAAGAGGAAGGCCTAAATTCCATTGGAAAGACCATGTGGAGAGGGACCTGGCTTCACTTGGAATCTCTGATTGGCGCCACATAGCAAAAAGAAGAAACGACTAGCGCGCTGTTGTTAATTCGGCTATAACCGATGTATCTGAAATTTTGCACACATCTTTTTCCACCCAGGAATCTGCTCATTCTTTGGAAAGCAAATAGCTTCCATACCATCCGAATTATCAGAATCAACTTGCTTATATGGACTATTTTTTCATTTTATAAGATAACAGCAAGAAATTTAGATTGAATTATTATTTAAAGCAGTAACACAATCTCTGAAGAAATTGATCAGTTCGCATTACTATAGTATATAGGTGCCATAGAAACCCACCAATCAAAACCAAGTTCTTGTAAGAAATCTTTCGTATTTGTCAAAGCTATTTTAGCTTCGGTACAATGGAAATTGACGTTTTTTACTTTTTACAGTTCGGGAAAAACATAACAAGCTTTATGTTTAATTATACTTGATTTCAGCCTTTCTGCTTCTTGATTTGTTTGCGTCACTTATGCGATGATTGCTGAAATTGTTTACTTTTGCTTTTATTTGCAGTGCTCCCACCAACCACAACACTAATGACAACAACAACGTCAGCAACAACACTGAACCATTCATCATCGTCTGCAACATTAAAATCCGCAGCAGCAGTAACAACAACAGCGCCAGCACATGCAACGGTGAATGCACTGAAATTAACGGAGAACTTGGAACCGCATCTGACGCCGCGCTCCAAGCAGCGGCTAATCAAAGTGGATTTCTCGCTGCTGCAGGTACACACACACACATATATATATATGAACACAGTTATACGCTTACCCAAATGCATGCTCGTTCTGCTAGTACTCCTACGCCGTTATGCTGTGGCAGTAGGCCACATTATTTGATAATAAATATTTCAGCGGGAACCGGCGATTATGCAACGCTGAAATTGTATAGTTTAGAAAGGCGGTTTGGCTTAATCTGCAAGGCTTGAAATTTGGTTTGAACCAGTAGTTGATTGCATTGAGGCGCCTTCCATAGGCAAGTGCACAGGTGAACACTGACTCGTTGCCACTTGAAGGGCTGCGCTCCCACGCACAGGCATGAAAACACATACATACAAACATGCATGTACAATAACGGCACAGCGTGGAGTTGCAAAATAATGATGGTTTCGTGACATAAATTACCTAAATTTTTTTCTTGCTTCTGGCTTAGCTAAACGCTGGCCCACTTCAACGCTAGATGTACCACAAAAACATATCTCATATGTACAAATGTATGTACGTGCATACTTAACGTTGACTTTTGTAAAATTGCAGTTGACCTCGTGCGCCTGCCAGTGGTCCTGCACGCAATACTACTTGCTGCACATGTGGAAGTAAACTCATTGCCAAACTCAAACAAAATCGGAAAAAACGCCAAACAGCAATAAACATAAACTTCGATAAACATTTCAAGAAAATATGCGCAAAATTCACTGCAAGTTCAGTCCAAGTCGAACCCTCAATGCAAATACATACAGGTAACAGCTGAGAAATTCTTTTTGCCTGCAAAAACCAGAGAAAACACATTAAATCCCTTTCTTACGTACTTACGAACTTATGTGCATACATGTGTACATACATACATACATACATACATACATATGTGCAATCCATGACCCAAAACCAAAGCACACGCTTAGTTGGCTATCGCTTCCAGTTCAAACTGTCAATGGCCACCATTTTGCGGCTTTGGAAAATTATTGGCGGCAACTGCCAAAAGAAAGAAAGCATCGAATGGCAGTGAAAGGGAGTGGAGGTCTATGCTAAGCGGTCAAATCGAAAGTCTTTGGCATTGACCGCGCAAATAATACGCAGTGACAGTTTGAAAAATAATTATGAGAGACGCGATTCTCCTTCAAAACAAATGCTGAAGCGAATAGCTGTGGTCCACAGTAATAACACAGTAGTAATTTTTAAATTTATTTGTATTATTTATTTTCAAAGGTAAACATAACCGCAATAATTAAAAAAAAAAAGAGATAAATTAACTACTTCCTTCAAAACTTCTGTGTTCCTGTTCGGTATGCGCCTTTTAGGCAGCTCTTTATTTCACCTCTGCAGGAACTGCGCTAGGCTTGCATTTTCTTCAAGCCACCCACCAGTCGCCAGACACATTTGTCCACAAACCAGCCATAATTAATTAAGCTAATTTTTCCTGCAAATATTTTTTTCCGAAAGTTCAACGCAATGCGAAGCCATTCAAACATATTAAATCGGAAAAAAATCCTCATCTATGTCTGTCACACACACCCAATCGCCCACCGTTATTCGCGGTGGCGCATGGCAACGCCCAATGAAATCAAATACAATATACTCACTTCACTATGCGGACCTAGGGATTATCCTTGGGTGAATGTCCTGCCAGCTCACTACATCGCCAGACAACAAAAACACTCATTTAACTAAGGAATACTCATATAGGAATTTCTAAAAGCTATTTTTAATATTTATATTTCATATGTATCCTCTCTCCCTCCACACGCAGGACGATGACAATTTCTTTGATGAGCCGTCGTCAACTGTCAGATACGGCAACTGTCACAGCGCACATGTCGGGATCTGCTCGCAGCCACAAATGCCTCCCTACCCGATCGGCGGCTATATGACGCTGGGTGCTGGCTATGGTGGGCCAGCGAGCGCCGTGTCCAATGCCAACGTGAAAGCACACGGACCAACAGCGCAGTTGCCGTCAGCGCTGACTTCGCGGGTGCTACGACGAACAAGTAAGTTCTGGTGATTCGGTTACAATTATGTATGTGTGTGTGTGTGTGTGTGTGGTGAATTTAGAATTTTGGAATGTGGTATTTCGAGTGTGGTCGTCGTGGTAAGTAAGGCATAAGAGCAAACCGGCATGGTTTTAGGTGCTTGTTAGAGTGCTGCATACTTTTGGGAGCGCATCGCGGTTCGGAATACACTCACGCTGTTCTAAATTGGAATTAACTTGTAATTATGTTTGTTGTCTGATTGATTGGCATATGATTTCTTATTTGCTTTATATTAGTTTGGTTTTACATATGTATATATTTTTGTTTATTTTATTTTATTTTCTAATGGATTTTTATTATTGTTTCTACTTTTCTTTTCTCCCACTTTTTTGCGATGGATTTACACTTTTAACTTACGAATATTGGTTAATGTGTTTTATTGAAAAATTATAATAATAATAATTTGTTGTTTTTGCTTTCGGTATGTTTAAAGGTATTTGATTGGTTTTTATTTGAACTAAAATGCAATGTACACCATAATTATTTATTATACTTCATTTGTTGTTATTATGAGCACAAAGAACAAAAACAAATCGCCTATAAGAGAAATTGGAGATATGCTCTTCTTGCTCAATAGCGCGGTTGTTAAAAAAAAAAAATATAATTCGCTTACTAAAAAAATGGCGGTGAAGGTTAAGAGCTCAATACTTAGTATTTGTAAACATTCAGCAATCCTTAAATTTAATGAAATTTCCAGTAGTGTTGATTGGACCAAGCTCAACAACTTGACCATGAGCCTCCCGTTAATCACTAGATACACCAAAAAACTCGAATAAGTATTTGTTATGCAATAATTTAGAACTAAGAAGAAATAAAATACTGTAAAAATATTCCTTAAGTTTGTAATGTATATAAATTTGTAGTTGTGCATGTTAGTTTATGCCGTTATTGGAAGTTGTATGTAGAACCGCCTCCCTATAGACCTTTTCCGACTCTTTAATATAGTGAAGTTGCCTTTTTGTTCGAGCATTATCCATTAGAAATTCTGAAAAAGTTTAATTCAAAAACTCTAAAAGTTAAAATATTTTGAGCGTTTTCCTCTCTCAAGACAAAACCACTAAAAACCATTTCCATTGTGTTCTCCTCTTTACAATCAAATGCGCTTTAAATAATGTAAATGAATATTGAAAATAATTAAAATCGCAAAAATTGCCTAAATGGAAAATTTTACTGTAAAATCCACCCAAACGCGCCGTAATGTATGCAATGAAACATTCGTGCAGAGGACTCGTACACCGAGGATGAGTACCATAGGTTCTTCGACAACGCGCTGGAATGTAAATATGATTATATATCTTCTTCTCTATTCTCTTCTATCTGTAATTCATTCATCTGCGCGATAGCCTTCAAATCATATTCGCTTGACAAACATACACACATATTCAATATTCAAATAAGGCTTCATTAAAAACACTAAACTCTACTCTAACTCGGGAATATATACATATGCGTCCATTTAAATATATTCTTAAATAGTTTAGATTGGCTCTTCTAATATTCCTAAGCAATATCGCCTGCGAATCGTATACATACATATGTTCATATCTCTAGTTTAAGCCCATTTCTGTACGCGTGTTTGCATAAAAATTCATGTATTTACACATATACATACATACAGATGTGTGTGTATTTGCTTTACCAGTTATTGTCATGCCATTCATTCGCTTCGTTCGTGCTTCATTCGGTCGTGACTCATTCTACATATGCGTAGACCTCCGTTAAGCGCCTAAAATGCCACAACGAACTTATGCAAATATGCATTTGGACAAACCTTAGTCTGTAAATAAAAATATCCGGTCTTTTTTGTGAATTCACGCACATTCTGCAAGAGTAATTCTTGTGATTTGGTCCTACAGAAAAGAAAAGAAACCCAATTGAACTCATTTGCTCATCTTTCGCCGTCACTTTCATTGTTTCTCTGTGTTATTTGTATTTCACTTTTAGTTAATGACACTAGATTTCGATTTGTTTGCATGGTACCCTCGTGTAATTGTATATAAAGCATATCTGTTTTGTGTGAACTTCAAAAAAGAATTTGGGTTTCCAACGAAAATGCCGAATATTCTTAAAAATTAAATTTCATTGATTGATTAAATGTCCAAAAACTGGCGCTCGCTCAATCCATATTTATTTATTTTTATATTTTTCGTTTCTTACGCGGTCGTTGACTGAACTTTTGCAGACTCCAGCAGGCTTGCCGAAACCTACATCCATCACTCATTTTCACCACTTAGATCAAAGAAATGTCATTTCAGCTCTTTCTAACCTCCCTATTACTAAACACTAATCGACAAACACTCACAAAAATATATTGTATTCATTATGGTACTTAAACTTTGATTTACATTGCTCACACTTTTAACGCTTACTTTACTCACACGAAGGCCTCGCATTATCGCCCTTCCTACTTATAACTGTATTTGATCCGATTTCTTATTGCCTTTTGACAGCTTACGATCTCGCCACACAATGCGAGTCGAGACGCGCCTCGTTACGTCGCCACACGATCGTCGGCTGTCAGAGCAACTTCGACGAGACTCATTCCATGCCGCCATCGAGGCCCGAATCACGGCAGTCGGATGTGAGTTCTGTCGCTGCTCCGGGCGACGGCGCAGACACAGTTGCTGGCACAACCAAACAGGTAAGCAGCGCAAATATTTGTATTTTCCATTATGGTTATTAAGGAACATCCGTTGATCACTTCAGCTACACAACAATTACAATCAAAAGCAACAACAACATCTGAAGCGCTCCCAAAGTCCTGGTACAGGAGGCAGCCACAGCACACGTGCCGGCGGCGAGAGCAGCGGTTGCAGCCGTTCGTCATCCTCAGTTGGCCCATGGAGCAAGTCCTTTCTTGATGAGAAAACTTGGATCGAACGCGGTGACGATCGTCTCTCGTTGACGCTGGAGGAGATCGTGCACATACGTTCGGTGATGACGAAGGCCGAACTGGAAGGACTGCCTGTGGGTGTGCGTGTCAAGGAGGATGTCGAAAAGCGCAAAGTCTGCTTCCTGTGCCTACGTACACGTTTCTCCATATTCGGGCCTTGGGGCATACAATGCAAATTGTGCCAACGCACGGTCTGTTCCAAATGCTATACGAAGGTAAAGAAAGCATCGTCATCTTTGCTTTTATGAAACTTACTTATAATGTACATTGTAATATTTTAATGCAGATGAGAATACCAACGGAGCATTTCCGCAATGTGCCGCTTGTCCTGATTTCACCCTCATTGCTTGCCAGTCCGGCTGGCTCCAGCACGCCATCACCATCGCATCACGCTCACCACACACACTCGTCTTCGACAGGCAACATATTGGACGAGACATTCCCAAAATCGTTAATTGAGCGTCTGTTGCGTTCCGAGTCAGAGCGTAAGGTAAGCAACTGTCGTTCGGACAGCGTAAGAGCGCCAACTCTTAGAACAAATTGCTTATAAATAAATCATTACAGACTCGCAATACGGTGGGTAGCGCTCCATCATCGCCCAAACACCAAAGATCCAACACCAGTACACCTGGCACCAGCCACATCATGGCCACACGTTCGGGTACCTGTGCTACTGGACAAGCCATCGAGGCGGACGATGCTTCCGCAGTGACGTCTTCTTATAACAGTAATCTAGCAAATGGCTCTAACAGTAATATGTACGCCAATAACAACAAACACATCAACATAATGTCACGCAGCGTGGAGGGACCACGCAGTTTGCCTGCCAACAGTCCTGCGCGCGCGCATTCCAACAGCAGCACTTTGGACCGGAAGTGAGTAACTGGCACAATTAAATGCCACATTATATTCTAATATGTATTTTTGCAGAACGAAATTTTCTCGAGCCTTCACACTCTCCGCTTCGGGCACGCAACTCAGCCAGGAGCAGAAGGAGAATATGCGCGGAGAGCTGGTCACCGTTTGCAACGACTGCAAGGGTCTTGTCATGGAGATCACGCGCTCATCCAAGCAGACGCGCTCCTCAGCGCGCAACCGCGCTCTGCAAAACCTCACGCTCGACCTCTCCCCGGTCTACAAGTGAAAAGGAGCCCCCAGGCGCGGCAACAAGCCGGCCTTGCGAAACACGAACAGGCCGTAATCGCCGAAAACAGCTGAATTTGAAATAAACGCTGTTGTCGCTGCACACGCGGTTGATTATAACTAAGTCCTACTGCACTTCCAAATCACTCTTCCCTTGAAAGCGTAATTTTACATAGACATACGAACACTTTCTGGGCCGACGCCTACTCACGCCGCGCCGGAAAGTGTGCACCACTGTTTGTAAATAAACAACAACTAAGCAATTTATTGAAATGTTCGAACTAAGTTTTTAAACAACAATAAGAAAAGGCGGAGGCAGCGCTCCGTGTTGAAATGTTTGATGAAAATTATTATGTTCCAAGAATGCACCCCACCATTACATTGTAAAAAATAAGAAACTTATTGATGTTCGAAAAAGGTAGATATGTATGTGCAGACCTGCAATTAGCGCGCTTATAAGTGATTAATTTGCTTTTGATTTGAGTCTTGCGCAAGCGTTCTTGGAGGAGTCGCGCTCCGAAACCGCTTACAGCTTCGCGGAGTACGTAGCTAGGCAAGGCGCAACACAAGSCAAGCGCTTTCSCTGTYGACTGCCTTGCGTATTAGTGTATCAACTGTTTGGAACGAAAAYGCAGCGTAAATTTGCTTTAAACTTTGATACGATCGCCAAGTTTCTTTTAGTTAGTTTTATTTATTTATTCAAATTCGTTTGCAAAGCTTTCTTTCTTGTTTTACTTCATAGAATTATAGAATTTAGGCGCGGCGTTGCTGGAACTTTCCCTTCCGTTGCGGTCACACACCGACAATGTTTCTTTTTTTTTATAAATATTTCATTTTGTGATACGGAGGAGTACTCTTTCCACCTTTCTGATTATAATTCTTCAAATTAATACTTTTTACGCACGATTTTCATTGCCCCCCCAAAACATGAAAAATCATGAATATGGTTGTGTGAGAACTTGTACAAAAACAACTGATTTCTATTTGTTATTCGGACTTTCTTTGTGTGTTTTTTTTTTTCATTTTTGTTTTTGTTTTGTGTTTGCATTTTCAATTCATTGAGAATTACATATATTTAACGCTAAGATTATAATTTTTCCTTTTGTTTTGTTTTCCTTTTTTTGACATGACATCTGCTCTTCAAGTAAAACTAATGTTTGTATACACACGTGATAATGCTACGAACACTTACCAATAACTGTACTATTAAAATATTAACCTTAACATTTAGTTTTAAACGTAACAAAAAGGTCAATGCACATTTACCGTTTTCACAACCAAACAATTTAAACATAATTTGTACTATACACTTTATAATATTGATCGCATAATTTAATATACTGCGTTTAGCACACATACACATACATACATATACATAATAATGATGATTGCAAATGGACCAATGTCCCATTACTATTAATATAAACATTACCATTAACTTAAACATATTTATACTTGTATACAAACGTACATACATACGCTATAGTATAGTATAGAACCAACACACACACATACATAAATATATTTTGTCAATCTGCTTAATTTTAGTTAGTAATTTCTACACATGTAATTTATGATAATTATAGTTCATAGTGATCTTACCCCTACTTTCGATTGCATATATTTTTTGTTGTTTTGGAGCACATTTTACGTTTTAAGTATCGATTCAGTTTGGTAAAGCGCCACGACTTCAAGCATAAGATATTATTTGTAAAAATATTAGCAACACACACAACTACATATATAAGCTATATACATATAATAAAAGCTAATAAGCCACAAATGTACAAAGAAATTTAAAAAAAAAAACAATTGTATGAAAGATTGCAGCAAACAGAATGGAACCTTGTGGAGGCTTCAAAGCTCGTTTCGAAAATGTGTGTGTGTAATAATACATTTCGGATATGTTACTTTCACAAATGATATACAAACATAGTTACATTTAACATCGCATCACAGCTGTAACTATTTTCAACTTATTTTTGCAATATTTTCAACACAATTGTTGTTGTTGTTGTAACGGCAGAATTCTGCCGAGTTGACAGTCCTTGGCCGGATAAAAATCCGGGGCCGTTCCGGTTTTCGTAGACCCGACTGTCGTGGGAACGGGGAACGAACGAACACAATTGTCACCACCGCCGCCTTGTTTCCGAAGCGAGATTTGTTGRCCTACAAGCGCCCAATTCTGAAGCGAAAGATTAAGCATTGTAACGCACTCCACTGCTGGTTTATCCAATGTTAAACAAAAAGTAAATKATAAACATATTTTCTGCTTTCTGTACATGCATATGTACAGAGTATCGTTGTATAGTTAATAGGACCCTTGTGCATCTGTAAACTGATGTGCTAAGATGTGGTGGAGAACCAAACCAATATCCAGTGGAAATGCACTTGTTGCTATTAATTCATTTATGTATTATTTGAACACATACATACGCGCAAGCAAGCGTCGAACACATGCAAGCATACATACATATATGYGTGTGTATATACATTATACAAACTAATTTTATAAAGTATCCCCATGGATTAAGTGTTTACAAGAGCAGCAGCACCAAAATAAATTTAAACTAAAGAAATCAAAATAAAAAGATCAACAATTAAAACACAAATGACTTTTGTTTCGTTTTCAGACCCGAACCAGGTTACCAGTAAGTTTTTTTGTTTTTCTTGCTACAGCATACAAAATGAAAGGCTAATATAGTTTTGTGAAACGTTTTGTATTTATTATATTAATATTGGCCAATTCGAGCCAGTCGTTAAATACATTAAGATGTATTCAATTTTTACGCATATATTTTGATAAAAAATATTCTTTATTTACTACTTTTTGTTATTGATGTTCTTTAAATCTAAATCTATTTTCAAATAATTTCAGTTAACACTCTTAAAAAATATGCATCAACATTCACAATGCACACAGTGTTAAAAAAAAAAAAAAGACGAATTCTTTTAAAGGTGGAAAATGTGAATGCGTCATGAATTTCGTACGTCTCATATACTCATGTGACTTAAGGTTACTGCTATTACTTAGACTTTACATATAATTATGCACATAAATATAACATGACCAATTTAGCCAATTGTTAAAAAAAAGTCCTGTTTTATTTTTTTTCAAAGGTTTACTTAAGATCGCCTTTTCTTTTCGTCATTGCGATGTTCGTGTCCGCCACGACGTTTGCGGTTGCCGTGACCGAACTTATTCTTGTTATGGTGGTTTCGTCGACTTTTCATTTGTTCAACAGCCTTAGCCAAATATGTCTTCTCTTCTTCTTCCGAGAGCGTACGCAATACCAGCTCCAAGTCATCGCTCAACTTTAACTACAATCAGCGAGTTAAATTATGTGAACAATATTTTTCTTTGCTTCAAATCACAAACCTACCTTGTTTTCAGTCAATTTCTCGAGGAACTGAGATCCATTATTTTCGTCCGAAAAGCGTATGTGACCTGTTTTGTCGCCTTTGCTATAATCAATATAAGCAATTTCCCAGTTGCCTTCAAYCTTTTCCACAGCCTCACGCAATAATTCGCGGGTAACAACATCTGTACAATTTTCGAAGTACACAACAGTTCCTTTAGGCAGTTGTAACTTTTCTTCTTCTACTTTGGCTTTGCCCTTCTTTGATTTAGACTTTGTCTCTTCTTTTTTATCTTCATAATACTTATCTTGCCATTTGCGTAAAAGTTCCCGTTCCATATAGAGTACCTGCAAATTAATAATATATGTAATTATATTATTAGTTTTTTTTATGTTATAAATTATTTGTTTACCTTTTCCTTCTCGATGAACTCTTGAGCTTGCTCTTTCTTCGCAAATGTTACAAATACGCTGCCTTTGAATTTATATGTTTTGGTGGGTTTATCTAGGTATTTGCGCATGGTAATGTGCAACACCTTTTCATAAGGTGCGAAGAAATCAATCAACTCCGACATGGTGGTTTCCAATGGAAAACCTTTAGCATATGCAGTTCGCGATTGCACTTCTTTACGTTGTTCCTCATTGTGTTCTGGAATAGGACGTTCCGGATGACGGCGAAGCTTTTCCTTATCTTCACTAATTTCAAGTAAACCTTCATCAGACTTTATAAGGGAATCAATGATCTCAACCGGATCGGTACTCAAAGATGATAAACGTTTGAATGTTAATAAGACGGAAAGAGGTACCCAGCCCTCTTCATCTTTGGAGATCTGCTCCAATAAAAATTTATCACGACGCAAATTAGCGTCACTGAAGTAATATTCCACTTGACGTATAATAGCTCGCTCTTGTTTGGTCAGTTGCACATCACCAGCGTTTTCTTCTTCGGAACTATCCTTTTTGGTTTCTTCTGCAACATCGCTTTTTTCCTCTGCGCTGTCTTCTTTAATTTCCGTTGCAGAATCTTTTTTGATTTCATCTRCAGTTATTGTAGGATTTTCAGTCGCTACTTCGTCGGCTTTTTCGGACGCACCATTTTTCACTTCTTCAACGGGAATATCAGCAACATCAGCCATTATGTGTACCTAAAAAATTGATGTTTTGAATTAAATGAATGTGTAATGCATTCAAGATTTGACAAATTTACTTGAAATATATGAAAATTTGATGAAAACTTATTCAAACACGTGTGAGCAAAACACACGTTTCCAGACAAATCACCGCTGAAAGCTACCATAAAGAAATGTCAACGAAATGACAGCTACATTTGTCAGCCGTATTGACAGCTATAATTCATCCAGTATTGGCAAACGACGAAAATAAAATTACGAACAGATTTTCTTGTGGAATTTGCTTACATTTTTGTTACAAACCGTCATCCATCCCTCATTTTTCCTGATTGCGTTCCTTTTTTTTTTTTAATATAGCAGTAACGACGGTTAATAAAAGAAAATCGTCTTTTGCTGAAACATGACAACCGACCGCTGGTGTGCAAATATGAAATAATTGATTGACGRGCAAGACACGGATGAACTTCACTCACACATATCTAAATATTGACCCATTAATTGAAGTAAACATTATAAAATCTGAACATCTTAAATATTTTTAAACACTTAATAAAAGCGCTCCGACTTTCTGAAATCTGTGTACTCATCATACTCATCATACTCTGGCATCTCTCATTGCGAATAATTCGTTGTCAGTACATACATATGTTAATATGTCATTGACTATTTTGTAAACAAAATCACGCGGAAATCGATTTTATAAAATAAAATAATATTCATGTGTAAAAGATGGATAATTCGCAAAAATTTGTTTTACCCTCTCCGAATTTCCATAAAAAAATGGAATCACCTTTAACGGTAAGGCCACACTTTCTCACTCCGTCTGGAATGACCTTGCATGCACGACATCAACCACCGCCAATGTACGGAAAACGGGGTGCCACATATCCTTCAAAATACCTTCAAACGGCAAATAGAAATAAAGTGAGTTTAAAAATTTATTTAAATGTTGAAAAAATAACAGCCTTCAATAGTTTATTAAAGTAGAGGCTGCGCAAACAGAAGCTGTTGAGCCTGAATATTGCGAAGYTTGCGACATGGAGTTACAGTCTAATGATGATCTACGGCGACACAAATTRCAACATGAGAAATGTCCAGTAGATAATTGTAGCTATCGAGGACATCCATCAGTAATGGACAAACACGTTGCAACACTTCACAGTTCTGGTTTATTTGATAAATTTAAAAAGCTTAGCTCGCCCGAAGAAATAGCTGCTTGGCGCGAAGAACGAAAAAGAAAGTGAGAATATTGTGTACTAAAATTAAAAGATAGTTTTTTGTAATAATATTTCTTTATTTTGTAGATATCCCACATTAGAAAACGCTTTAATGAGGCAACGAGCTAGGGAGCAGCGTGAGAAGCGTGGTGAACGTCTTGAAGCCCATTATAGTCGGTTTGGAAAGCACGATGATCGTAAACGGGTGCAGAAAAAACATTGCTCTGAAACGAATGAAAGGAACCCCAATCAGCAACAAAAACTAAAAGGTCAGAATGGTATTGAAAAAAGGAACCGCAACAAAAATAAACGCCGTAAAAAGGAAGAAGTTAAAAAACTCGAGGAGAAAAAGCAAAATGATGTCATAGCAAATATAATGTCAGYTAAAAATACACTTGTGGAAGAAAATATCCAAGAAAATGATATAAGCTGCAATGACGTTATGATATTTAAAGGAACAAGTAAATTGGCCGATTATCATCACGTTAAGCTGAAGAAACCGAAAGAAACAAACGTATTGAGCAGCCTACTTGGAATGTATGGATCGGATGAAGATTCTGAGAATGACTACAGCAATAATGAGATGTATGAAAATGACACAGATAACTTAATTGACGACAAATTAGATAAGACAATTGGCTCTCATACATGTATGATTGATAATGGCCTGTTAATGAAAAATTCCACGAATCTACTCTCAGTTAATTCGTTTAATGTTGAAAAATTGGAAGACACAGAGTCTGGAAATTTCGCAGAGGTRCACTGCAATAAATCGTTGGAAAATATCGATATAGTGAATAATCCCGATACAAGTGAAGCGACCGTAATCGTTACAGAAAAATTCGAAAATGTAAGCGAAAATTCGGTTGATACTGTTCAAAGTTTAAATCCACAAAACGCAGAATTAGTCTGCTCAGATGATGATGCACCGGAAGAAGCGCCAATAGCTCGCTCAACTGATCTGCCAATCTGTACGAAATCTTTACAASCAAATGTGCGAAGAAATGATGGAGCAAGTAAGGATAATAATCAGCAACCCACCAATAGAATTAGAAAAGTGGATCGAGTTGCCAGAATTAACAAGCAACAATCAGGGTTAGATTATCGAAAAGCACGTTTGCGAAAACAAAACACATTGTTGGAAAAACTACTAGAGCCGGACATTCGGCACGAGCGAAATGTGTTATTACAATGCGTGCGTTATGTTTGCGAAAATAACTTTTTCGGTATAGGCGAAAAAAAGATAGTAAACTGACTTATTAATGAAATTGTACAAAATAATGCAACTAAGTTTTATTTTTAATAAATTCTTATAGTAAGTGCTTAACTCAAAGTAATGTAATTATTTATTAAGCGGCCTTAATTTKGAGCTTGTTGCCCCATTTGTGTTGCTCCAGCATTAGACATTCCTGGATTAATAGAATTGTCGTGAGTTTGTTGAAGCTGTTGCTGAGCCATTTGTTGCTGTTGCTGCGCTAACTGTTGTGCATGTTGTTGTTGCCGCTGTTGCTGTTGTTGTCGAGCAGCATGGGTATATTTCGCCTAAAAATATATAAATACGAATTTTTTGATGAACTACATACATACTCTTTAAAAGATCTTACTTTAGATTCTTCTAGCTCACGCACTCTAGAGCGCGCATGTTGTATTCTATGCCAAGCCATTTGTAAAACTTTTGCAGAGGCATATCCAGAACCTTCGTGCGGTTGTCCCGTGGAGACCTGTGTCAAATAATTAATTTGCTCGCTTAATTTTGATTCTACATTGGATAAAGATTTGATAAATTGTTGCGTTTGGGTTTCAGCACTTTTCTGCGAAGATTTTTCCTTGCTAAGTTCCTGCAACGCCTGACCTGAAAAGAAAATTGTTGACTTTSAATGTATGAGGCATTTAATTTAAATAAAAACCTGCACTTTGTAGACACGTTATAATTTCTTGTTCTATTTCATCTAATGCGTGTATTTTGTCTAAGGGATTATGTGCCATTACCACTTTATTTAATAAATAATGTGAACAATTTACAATTATAAAAGTTTTGTATAGCGCCTCAACAAACTGKCTCAGCTGTTCAATTTGACATTTCTCTCCAAACTTGGCAGTGCTGTTTCTTGATTATATGAGGTGGTCTCGATTTAGCATAATAAGTATATAGTATTATATTTTATTGAGGTTTTTTTTAATATGTAATACAATATTTTGCACGTGAGACTGAAATAGAAAATGTATTATATAAAGTTTTCACGTGGTCTAACAATGTTTTAATAATTCAGCACCATATGAACATCAATTTTAGTCTCCACTATAGAGAGTGTATCAGTATCAGAGTTGGCAACTCAGTTAGTCATTTTCGGCAGTCGAGTTATTTTCGAGCAGATTTCATGGTGTGTCATTTTAATCACTTTTTTCGCTTTTAAACATTATAAAAATCGGTAAAACATGTTAATTATTTTATGGAAATTGTCGCGAAGAAGTGCAGATTGGTATGCGGGTTGTTGTTAGTGTTTAAAGAGTAKCAGCATACAAAATAATACATAGTCAATTTTCCTCTGCTCAATAAATTTTTCTGTTGTTGCTTTCGTCGTCGACGTCGCTGCCTACAAWTCACTTCCTTTTCGAGCTAATGTCACTGCCGCCGTTGACTGCGCTGCCGCCGACGCCGATGTTTTATTGAGAAAGAATAAACCTGTGGACATTGCTATTTTTAATAACTTGTGTTTAATAAATATATAGAAATAGAAAAAACAAACAAAGTTGCAATAAACTACAAAAAAATTAGTTACCTAATGAAATAGTTGGGTTTACTTACAACATTTTCCAATAAAAAAAAATGAAAATATCACTTCTTAGTAGCAAATATTAATTGGCAGTTTTGTGGGTGGAACTATAAAATAGCTTTGTAGTGAGTTCGACAAATTCGGAGTAGTGGCAGCATAATTATATGGTAAGTGTTTGTACGTACATATGCTACTTCAATTTTGATATACATATCTAATTAGTACGTAGGCAGAAAGGGTATGTACAAATGTAAATACATTTCAAAACTCTCCGTGAATGGTTTTTAGAATGCTGCTGCGAATTTGCGTTATGTTTTGGTTTTGTAAGAAGCACCTGTATGTATGTATATACAATATTTACCCTTATTAAATATTTATTATTTTTTGTGTTGTTACTGCCAATATCATATAGGTAATATAACAAATTCAGACTTATCAAAATGATTTTTAATATTATTTATTCATTTCGTGTATATTTGTATATTTAATATGTACACAAACACATGGTTATGTGTCCTACCCTATGTGCATATACATACATATGTTTTATGCGTCATCTAAGCTGCTTTTGCCTCGCAACCAAAGAGTATCCAACAGACACAATTGCAAGCATTTGAATGATGACAATAGCATAGTTGTAGCTATATAGTGCACTTTACTTCATGCAATTTTCCAGATTTTTTCTGTTTCTTCTATTTACTTTTATTTGTTCTGCTATTTTAACAAAAGAGCAGTGTACAAAAGAGGGCGACAAGTGGTCGCTTGCAGAAGTGCGCAACAACATCAACGGTATGTTCAAAGAAATGCAGTCTGAGTTGCAACCGAATAAAAGAGGAGAATTGAACAGTGTAGCATTTAACGAAAATCTGTAGTAAAAATCATACAACATATAAATATTATGTAYATACATATACTTAAAATAATATGTGAGTTCTGAAGGTGTTGTACCATGAGAAAGTAATATTGAGTCTGATAAAGTAACCTTAAGCAAAATACATAAATTATTTACATAAATAAAATTTTCCTTCATATTACATAGGTTACTTGCAGCCAACATAATTCTTCTTTTTGACTTCTGTAACTGCAACAAATCTGATGTAGTTTAAATAATTTCTTCCGAGTGTTGGTGAATCACTGCACACCGTGTTCTAATCTATGGCTACATGTGTGCCACAATGACTCTTGCGGTTTAAACGTGCCTTTGGCTGCGCTAAGACTACATACAATGTTTATTCCGACGATGGCGCCAATTTTCACAGGGAGCTAGACAGCCGAGTTGAGTCACAATGCGCCATACAAGCATGTACTTACATATTAATACATATGTATGTAAGTGTGTAGCCTCTTAAGTTGCCAATARCTCTCACCGCAAACTGTTGCTCCTCGGTAGATTCAACTCTGCACAACTCGTACCATACTGGATGCTTTTGACAAATGTGAATATTCATTCATTCATGCATTGAATGTCTTTATTATTTATATGCTTTTTGTAGCTCACTATTTGCTTTGACAAATTTTATTCTATTTTTACTTTAAACCATTAAAATGTTTTGTAGCTGCCTTAAATAAAAATCAGCTCCATAGCATCCCTCCAACAGGCTATAATTTGTGCATGCACTACCTGCTTCAATGAATGTCTGCCACATTTTAAATCCCATAAGCTTGAGCGGCAGCGCTGATCTTCACACTTCGGTTGCACACGCTCTAGAGGGCACACTAAATTTAGGTTGCACAAACAAATGTTTTAGTGTGTCTGGATGCTGTATTGCGCCACCTTTGATTGCAGTCGATAAGTTGGGACATTGTATACCGTTAAACTTCAAGACCCCAACACGGAAACATAAATTTTCTGCTGCCACATGTGTGGGGAACGCAAGTTTTTTTATTTTAGATTTGCATTCATTTTGAATGTACATATGTATGTACATACATTCATATGTATGTACATACATATGTACATGTGTATTCATGCTTGTAATTTATGACTAATTTGGAATTGTTTTCAATTATTACAAAGAATTCAACTTTGGAACATTTTGTTTATGTTTTATTTCAATTTCAATTGGTTGCACTTTTGAACCGCGATAAATTATTAAAATTCTATTTTTTTGCAAATATAACAATTTTTGATGTCGACACTTGTTTTACGAGTAAATTTCGAAATTTAACAAGATTTTCGAAAATATTTTGTATGCAACTCAATTTTTTGGTAACGGTATTTTCTGTCAGMTATTCTATACAATTCTGATATATTTTAAGATTTTTATCTGCACCTCACCATTTGGTGATCTATAACCAGCATGCAAAAACCCATACCTCCTTGTCCGATTGCGTTTGAATGTGGAACTATAAAATGGCTTTAATGATAATCCTAATTTGCTTAAAAAAAAAATAACTTCTGAATTGTATGAAAAGCGGGTAAGACGAAAATAGTATCAGCTGTTCTCAACTGCGCCGCACCAATGTGGTCGCTTGGATGCAGTGGAACGCAGATGAAGAAACTTCAGACTTGTCAGAACACTGCGCTCTGGATTACGCCTCCTAGAGGTCATTCCTCAATTAAGTCGACAACATTAAACGGTACGCCGAGCAGACTTCGGACGCAACAAAGTTTCGACAAGAACGTCATTGACAATGGAGCCATCAACGCCTTCACCGACTCCCTTCCAGTGAATAGCGTACTTAGAGTCAAACCACTACCAATCGCTGACGAAGACCTCGAGTTGCCGCGCGACACGAGAGTGACCCTTGCACAGCTTCGTTCCGGATACTGTAGTAAGTTAAACTGCTAGTTATCCAGAATAGGCCCCAGATCCTCCCGCTAGATGACGTCGACAATTACTGAGCTTACCCTTACCATCCTAACGGGGACTAGATAGACGTTAGAACAACAACAACCATAATATCCCAGGTTTCCTTTAAGTATGATCCAATATATGTAAATTCCTTGAAGCCCACTTTGTTTAAAAAGGAATTGCCTGGACCAACGTCATCAACATCTGACATTTRCTTAGCAAGCTTGGCAATGCGGTCCGTCCGAGGCGTATAAGTATGTACTTATGTAAATAAGTAAGTTTGTCTGATTCTTATTTTGCTGGAGCACGCGTCGTCTAAAGTTCATGCTGACCAAAAATGGCACCTTACAGCCAAATGCCTTTAATTGCTGCTGTTTATTTGTGCAAGTCCGTATGCACTTATTATGTACTTGGTCGTTTCGTCTTTGTTGTGTAATGTACTCAAATAGAATTGTGTTTATTTTCCTAAATCTTGTTTATTATTTCTGTTTTCACACGATAATCTGCAATGCTTTGAATGCAACTGCTTTGATTATGCACAATTTGTAAATATTTTCTAAATACTTTGATTCGAATTCATCATCAAATCACCACTTAGAGTAATAAGCACGTTCACAAGGGGTCAAAGTGAATTTTAGCGACATTTAAACGATTCCAGGCCATTGTGTGAATCAAATAAGCAAGAGGAGAAAATAAACTGTWTGAAAGTTAATCGGGATATTATTGAAAATTCCATACTTCGCAATATTYTTAACGATCGATTCCAAATCATTTTGCTCTCATTTATTTTCCTTTATTTATTAATTTTTTCCACATCCATAAAATATCGCGCCCAAAATGATGTCAAATAAAGACTGGTATTTTTCAGTTTGTCTTCCCTCCGTGGCCAGAATACCCCGTCGTCTTAGTTGAGGGAAATTTGATTTTGACGTCTGCGTCTGGGCGATTGGCARCATGCCAATCGAATGTCGTCGCCTGGTGCTGTTCGTCTCTGCTGTGTTCTTGGTGCGACATATTCAATTTTTAASYTGAGTACTTTTTGCATTAATTGTATTTTATCCTCTACAATAAAGTAAACGGTAATTTGGAGTTTCTATTTTCGTACCCATTGCCGAAAAGAGCAGAAATAAAGGGTCCAAAAATAGTTGAGTGTGTAAATATTAGAATCAGTTCCACGTGCCATGAAGGTTYGCTATGTTTCGAGATGAGGTGTAATCATACCGAACAGCTGAAACGCCTAGGAGGCTTCACTTATATAGAATAGACCGTAATATTTGAGTTTAGCCGACCGCACTTTGGGATTTAAACCAAGGATCGATAACAGAGTAGTCACAGTATTTTCTACTCCTCCACAGCTTTGTTTCATTTATTCTCAGACGCGAATATGTATGCACCTTTACATATTTATCCGCCATTGTTATTATAACCATATRCATATCCATATATGTATGTATGTAACGAAAAATGTAGAAAAAATAAAATTCATGTAGTATACGAATATTGTCCGCATGTGCAT